TTTTTTTTTTTTTTTTTTTTGCTTTTTTAAGGTTTTTAAATAGAGATATCGCTGTTATCATTCTGTATCCTCATAGGTTCTTGAGAAAACAGTGAATTAGTAGAAAATACGGTAGGAAGATGTCGTTTTGTCTATTGTTGGGGAAAACTTACTTTTAAGACTGTAAAACTAAAAAAACAGAAATTCTTAGGGAGCGTGATATTATTGTGCTGTTGTGAAAAACCGGAACTTTTTTTTAAAGAAATTTTTGTCCCATGATTGTTGATCAGTAAATTATTTAACAAATGGTGAACATGCAACATTGTTTCATCTAGTTCTCCAAAAAGTGTACTTGCCTAAAAAATAGTATTACATTTGCACAAACTACGTAACCGTGTCGTTGAAGCGTGTAAAACAAAAGCAATTTGTTTTTGAGGCTATGCAAAATTGGTATATTGTTCATCGTTGCCGCCAACATCGGCAGTAGCAGCAGTAGCAACGTGATTATCATGGGCGCGAACTGAAAGCAGTTTAGAGCGAAAACATGGAATCAAGCAGTGGACTTTGCTTACAAATCCTTTTTGCATACACTAAACCCTGCCAACAGATTAAAAAGGAAAAAAGGCAGAAAATTATTCCTTATGTTGTTTCTTTTATGTCTCAACAATCCTCTTCTTAAAAAGACGACAAGGCTTAGCAACGTCATGTTTTGGTTCCAACATCTTCCTTCAGTTCACATTTCAACAATCCTTATTCGTTTTTCATTCTGTTGGAACAGTTGTGTTACTTCGCCGGAATTGATATGTGCTTTTAAAGTTGTCAGTTATTATCTTTCTTATTTAGTTTTTAAGTTTTTGTATTCTGTTGACAATTAATCTTTAAATGACAAAAGCCGATGACAATTTGTTTAAACGACACGGGCGGCAAGAGTCATCTGTGAACAAATGTTTAATTTATAAAAGAAGTAGTGTTTACATGATAAGAAATTAAAGTTTTCATTTCAAACAGATGGAAGTGTAAAATTTTCTTTTCTTATTTTGCTTTGTAAAATTGGTTTTTATTGTTCAAATGGTCATCCGATTTCCTATGAAAACGACAGTCTACGCACGTATTTTTCATTATCAGCGGTATCTTCTAAAGCTGTTCAACAAGCTCTATTTTTCCAATTCTCGATTCTCACTGTATCAGCTGTATCTGTCAAAATGTAATTTTATTAATGTTTATTTAGTGCTAAAAGAAGTTAATTTCCTATTATTTTTTAAAGACATTCAAAGAAACCTTTTGAGTACTATCGTTTTACGAAAAAAAAGGAGTGAATTGAATGTTAGGCAAACAAAGAGTTTACTGGAAGACACAAAACTAACAGTCTATTCAAATATTCGAGAATATTTCAAATGTTCAAAAATTACTTAATGTTTAAAAGAATGAAAAAAGAATTTGTTTACTGTTAAACCGTCCTTGTTAGGTTGCCTAAAAAATATTTGAGAAACAGGATAAAGGCTTGAGGGGAGTCGACGATCTTTTCTGGCTATAAAAAAGCTGGTATTTTTGAGTATTAAATTTTATTGTCTTATTGGGGGAAAACAAAACAGACCGTGTTTTCAGTGGTTTTACAAGTTTCTTCTGATTTCTGTTCTGGACTTCCCAATAATCTTTGCTTATTCCCTTCCTGTTGTTGTTACGCTTGTTGTTTAACTGGTTGATAAATATCAACAAAAGGAGACAGTGTGTATACGGATTTTGGAAAGTCAGTCAGATGCCGAGCGTGTTTAAAAGTTCTTTCAGAAATAAAGGTTTTTGAAGAATTGAAGAACTGCTTTTGTACAGTAGAACAATTAAAATCTTGTTTGAGGCCTATTGACTGTAGCAGCAAATAGGTGGCTTTTTTTTGACATATTTTACCCTTTCAAAATGTCAAACTCTGTTAAGGAACATTGCTGATGTCTTGGGCTACAGAAATGAGTCTTAATTTTGTGTATAGCATTTAAACAACCTAATTGACAAAGATGTTGGTAGCTGTGACCGATAAGTGCTAAATGGTTGTGCTTAAGCGTAGCAGTTTGGAAGCAGACGGTTGTCGCTGTGGTCGTCATTATTCGGTGATCCCTAAAAATCATTCAATTCTTTTATTAATTTAGCAAATGAACGACAGTTCTTATGGCTAACCGATAAAACTATATTAATTTAAATATAAATAGTGAATGAGAATTGTCACTTCTTCTTTTAAAATTTCAGTTGAAATCACAAGAAAAAAAAATTTTCTTTTTCTTATGCTGTTTTGTTCTCAATCACTTAGATGTTATTGCATACATGACGGGATATTTTACTGAAGCAGAAAATTTATTTTAGTTTCTCAAACAGGGGCATTTTGGCAATTATTGCAGTTGGTCACCCAGTTAGTCAGTTAGTCATTTAGTCATTTAGGCAGTACATATGTATACATATTTGTAGATGGATAAAACATTAGCTGAATTTGTTGTCTAACAAATATTTGATCATTTTTCTATTGGCTGCATTTATTTGTCTCAATGGCTTTGATGTTTGGAGGAACAAAACTACATCAAATATATTATATAAAATATTTTCTGATTACAAAAAAATAATACTGTTAACTGGATAGATGAACAAATAGACACAGATTTGTAGAGTATCTGTTTGGAACAGTTTGAATAGTTGTAGTCAGTCAGTATTTATGCTTATACCTATGTGTTTGTTGTGCAATATTCGGTTCACCAACGATGTCTCCGGAAAAGGCAGATAAAGCTTCTTTTCATCTGATATTTGTTATTGCTTTTGCCGATGTTTTTCATTATAGCTTTTCTTGATGCACAGATCACTTTGATTTGTTACATTTTTGCTCATTGCAAACGATTCTGTTCATTTAATTTGAACAGAAAAATTTACCGACTTTAAAAAGAGTTTTGTAAATGCTTTTTTAAAGCTACTTTTTTTTCCTCTCTTAAATTAACAAAGACGGACCACTTCAAAACCTACCCTGACTTGGCAGCAATAAATTTTTGCAATCGTTGACCATACAGTCATTCTTCTGTCTTTTTTCTCTTTTTTCTTTTAGGGGGCCTTAACCAAACTATTGAAGTATTGATTTCCTTTTCCGTAAAAGTGGTTTTTTTTTTAGTTTACCATTTTCTGTTGTTGTGAACCGGTATCTCATCGCTGTCATCCTCCATCATTATTATCATTGCAATTATCAATCACTACACAGAAACTGCATTAAAATAGAGATCACAGTACCCTCTGTTAATACATCATTAAATCAAATGAAAGTGTCAAAAATAAAAAAAAAATATGTATAATGGCAAAAAAAAATTTTTTTAATTTTTGCATATATATCTGTGTTAGTTTTGCTCATGAGACTTATTATCGTTACCAAATACTAAAAGCTATCAAATAAAAAATAAAAATAAAAATGTAAACAGAAAGAAATTTTCCTGTTATAAACAAATTTTTATCACTTTTTCTTGTTTTTAAGAATCTGTCAAAGAATTGTTGCTCTGCTCAGCTGAGATCAATTCCATTCATTTCAGATTCTATTCAATTTTCAGTAATGTCTGACTAAGTTGCTTACTGATTTTTTATGGTTGCTCATTATCTTTTTCGTTTTTTGAATTATAATAATCATAATCGTTGTTGTCATCTTTGTTGTGGTTGCTATTGTCGGTCATAAAATAGTCAAATTTGTCACAGAAACTAAGTCGCATAATGAGATTTTAATATGACTAAAAAAAAGTTACAGCAACAATATTTGCTTCAGATAACACCAACTCAAACGAACCGTCGCCTAATTAGAAGATGTCGGGCAGAGGTTTGCTGAGACGATTTTCATCTAGTATATCAGGTAATTTGAAGAACTTTATTTATTTTTTATTTACTCATTCTTCAATAAGCTTTTTATTAACTTACTAACGTCACCTAAAAAAAGTAGCTTTTTTCATTTTTTGAATAAAAGAAGAGGCTTTAAGTTTTTTTATGACAATCAAACTTCAAATTGTTTAATCTAGGGAAAGGAAAAAGTTAAGACAATGGAAAAACGGCTACTATGATTGCTTGAAAATCTGTTGAGCATTAACCTTTGAAAAAAACAAAGAAAAGAAAAAAGAAGTCAACATTTTTAGAAGAATATATCATAAAAATTTGGTTTTCTATTTTACAATTATATTGCCTTCTTCTTTGCATCCAGTAGTGTTGACATTCCATTTGGTTAATGGGGAAACTTGATTTGTTTTCTTATTGTCCTCCGATGTCCTCCTACTCCTCCTTCTCGTCACAAATATCATACACACGCATATATATGTGCATATAGGTTCTCTTCCTGCAGCTATGAACTGAGCAAAAAGAAAAATGAGAAGAAAGAAGACATTGTAGACGGACAGTAAATTATTCAGAAAAAAGCGTGAGAGAACAAAATAGTAATCAGAAAGGCTAAAAAGTAAGAGATAAAAGAGTTGCAATAAAATAGCTTAAAAAAAACCAAGGGAAAAAATTTTTCGGGATTTGATGGTGTGAAATAATGTCATTTTCTATTTCATTTCAGTGTGGTAACAACGGCAAAGAATAGTGCAATTTCCCATAATAAGAGACATTACAAAAAAAAACCCCAAAATAGTAAAACCAATCAAAAAACAGTAACAACTACGATTTTTTTTGCTGTTTTCCTTTGGTTGGTGAGTGGCCATTTGACTATCGCGCAATAACAGAAGTTTTTGTATAGTTTTGCATGTTCTGTAGATGGTAATTGGTATCAGTGTTAAACTATGGTCAACTGTTGTGCTGGTAACATTAATTTGATCGCTTATTTTAGTAAATTTACAGATCTGCTTAGTGCACAACGTAAGACACATGCTAACGAGCGCGAAAGGTAAGACTGAGTATATATTGCTATTGCTTATTTTTGTTACTTTCCTTCTCCAACTTCTCAGTCTTTTCTGTTGCTGTAACCAGTCTTATAGCAAATTAAATAACTAATGCTGAAAAAAATTAATTTTAACAGAGATAAGAAAACAGGGATGTATTTGTCAAAAAATTATTTTTTCTTCAGTTATTTGCTGACACTTCATGAAGCAGTTAAACTTGGAAGTGTTGCATTAGTAAAACGACTACTTGTTAGTAAAGTTTTTAATGTCGATCAAGAAGATGCGAAAGGTTTCACATTTCTCCTCTTTTTTTTTTTCGTTTTATTTTTTGTTTTATTTTAGTTTAACAGAAATAACAGGTTTGGAACGAAGAAATGAAATTGCAAAACTATGCTAGGGTCAGTAGAAAAGAGATCTCAATTTTAGGACGAACTGCTCTGCATTGGGCAATCCAACAATATTCCACTGAAATCGCCTCATTTTTATTGTCATATGGTGCAAACATTGATGCCGTGGATTATTCCGGGAAAACGCCAGCGCATTTGGCTTGTCAGGAGGGGATGATAGATACGGTTTGCGTTCACTGTTACTTTAATGGTTCACTAGGAAGGGAGAATTATTAATATTAATATTACTGGGATTATTTATTATTATTATTATTATTATTATAACTTACCACTCACAACTATCATTACAGCATTATTTTTCAATTTTGTATAAAAAATTAAAGTGCAGATACGTTCTTTCTGTTTTTCTTTCTAATCAGTGGTCATCACTGAACTTTTTCACTTTACACGATAAGATGAAATTTTTCTTTCTTAGTTTTAAGAAGTAAAAATAAAGAAAGATTTACAGCGGTATATTTGTAACTGTAATAACAAGAGAAATTAGGTAACTTGAATGACATCGATTAACTTTCAGGTGAATTTACTGATTTATTACAAGGCTGACTTTCTAGCAGTTGACAGAAGCGGAAAAACCCCGTTTGATTTGGCTTGTGAATATGGGCGAGAAAAGGTCCCCAGCATTTTTGAAACTTTGTTGATCATAAACTAAAGGCATTTTATTTGAAAAATTTTGGAACAATTATAATAAGATATGCCTTAAACGATCAAGCATTAATTGATGTTTGATCTTAACAGTGGCAGTCGCGTAAGGCTGAAACTAAATAATTTATTTGAAACGTAATAGTCGTAGTAAAAATTCACTCAAGAGTTTGTTTAAGGTTTTTGCTTTGCGTAAAGGAAAACAAGCTTCTAATTATCTTTAAGTCAGTTAGCTGTAAAGAATTCTTTAGTATTTCGCTGATTCATTCCTTACAAGTCAATTTCAAAAAGTTGACTACGGAAATTTGAAAATCTGAAAAAATGACATCTGATTTGTGAAAAGTGCTTAATTGAGTCGAGGTTTAGTTGGTGAAAAAAATGTTGGAAAGCGGTTTATATGACCTAACAACATCCCGAACAAATTCCGGTCATCGAGCATCGGCACTTCATTTAGCAGCTCGTAATGGTCATTTTCAGGTAGTTCAATTAACGAAAGTGCTCATTGAATTGAAGTTTCATTTTGAAAAATTGCTTATAATTTAAAAAAAAAAACCATTTTTTTGGCTAAAAGATATTATAAACAAATTGTTAAAAAATCCACAACAGAATATAACAACCGACATCATTTGTAAGCTACAAGTTTTTTTGATATTTGAATTTGCCTTTGTTTACGTTTATTTTCAACAAAAATTTCTTAGTCTCAACCTATAGAGTAAATTGTTACTATTAAAGGTTTGCTCTAAATTGTTGAAATATGGTTGGCCTATAAACGAGACGACAGCTAACGGTACAGCTCTTCATGAAGCTGCAGCTAATGGACGGCTTTATGTTGTTCGATTCCTCCTCTATGTAAGTGACTGAAGTCAGAAATATGCTCTTTTTCTACAGAGTTTTACTGTGTTATTAAACAATAAAAAGAACAGTATTGAATTTCACTTAGTTAATTTCATAAATGTTATTTTCTTGTAATTTTTAATGGTCAGCAAATTCGGCGGGGTACTAAGAGGCAAACAGTGAATGATAAACACCTTCTTGCATAGCGATTGTGCAAGCGAATATCACATTTTCTTCATTCCAAAACACTCATTCTACTGTTATTTTTTATTTTTATTCTTAGATGCGAATAGGTTTTGGCAAACCGGGCAAACAATAGATAAGGATTACTTCAGTTAATCGCTACTTTGTTGTTTAAGGCGGGTATTGATCCCGAAATTCAGAATGGTCGTTTACAAACTGCGTTTGAGTTAGCCAAGAGGAATGCTTCAAAGAATCCGATAACTGCTAAAGAAATATGCTTTCTCATCAGAGGTTTCTTCGACTATCTTTTTTGCTACTTTTTTATATCGCTTTTTTTTTCTAGGTTAGGATAGGACTTTTATCTTTTTCGAAGTTTAACGTTAATTTTTGATCGTCTTATTATTATTATTGCTATTGTTTTCATCACGTAGTAGTATTATTTTTCAGTATTGTTTCTGAAAATAAAGCTTCTTGGTAAATTATAATTCAAAGCAGTTTTAAGTTAAACAAATTCTGCTATTATGAAGCTGTAAGTCGTCTGGAAAAAAACATTAATTATTTATTATTTTTTTTTATCTTCTTTAACGTATCTTTTTACCTGATATTGAAACCAAGAACATATGGTTAGACCTAATAAGGATCTGTGTACACAAGTGAAAACGGTTACACAGATACTGACGAATGACACCAAAACATGTTATTTGATATTTTTTATCCAAAATCGTACTCGGTTTAGCGTCGATGAAAAAACACTTTAAACACAAATAGCTAAAACAAAGACTGGTATCATCCTTAAGTAATATTATTTTAAATTTTGAGGAACCAACTGAACCATGTTTTTTTCTGTGCTAGACAAACTTATTTTCTCTTTTTCTTTGTTTGTTTTCAAACTTTTAAAGGTGGCTGATGTTCTTGAGTATTTAGAGCAGGAAAACTTTTTACGAAGTCGAGCCATTCAGGACTTCAATGGCATTACCCCGGACGACCTGACGTTTTCAATCGGGGATGAAATTTGGGTAATTTTATTTTTTAGTATTGCCCAGTTTCGGTGTTTTTAATGACCCAATTCACCATTCACTATTACTGTTTTTATCATTGTCGGCATCGATGTTTTTTTCTGATCAGTTGCTCAGTGTTTGGGAAATTATTTGATAATGGCAATGTAATCAAAATTTAAAGGTGCTTCTGAGTAATCCGCAGCAATTACAACTGTGATTTTCTCACCTTTTCTTTGAGGAAATTTTCAGTTCAAGTCAGTTCATAGGCAATGATTATTTCTGGTTGACCTTTCTTTTTTTTTTATTCAAGTGTTAACGACTTTTTTGGTGCCACAGTGACTGGCAGAGCCTAAAAATTAATTAGAAGATTAAATTTTTGAGCTTTTAAAATTACAAACTAACAGTTTTTCTACGTTTTTAAAATTTTATTCTTTTTTGTCTTTCAATATTGTTTCTTGACTGAAAATTGCCCAAAAATTTGATTTGTTACTTATTCTTTGCTGGAAATTAGCTTTCTTTAATGTTTTTTGATTTCATAAAGAACTTTTTCTCAAAAAGAAAGGAAACAAAACTAGAAAAATTAAATAAGACAAGCATTGTTCTTTAACTAGGTATGTGACATAATAGGTAACATGGTGGGAATAAGAGAACAATTTTATGGCACTCATTTTTTTTTTATTGTTTTACCTGACTTAAAATTTAATTGTCATAGAGGAAGTACCACAATATACCTCTTTATCTTTATCAAAGTCTCGACCCAACTTTTTTTTGCCGTTTTATAGTGTGGGAATAAAAAGGAAAAAAAACGTATTGAAAAAAGGCATAAAATAAAACTGTTGTCAATGCGGTTTATGGGAAAACAAAAACTTTTGGCTCGTAATCCAACCGAAAAAGCAGAAAATAAAAACACAAAAAAAAACAGAAAAGCTTCGAAAACGAACTGTTTACACTGTGAAACAAAACTATATGTATAATGCGCATTAAAAACTAAATAATAAACGCAACAAAAAAATAGCTTTTTCGTTTGGGCTTAGGAACCGAAAAACAGTGAGAGCGGACTGAAAAAAGATAACGCTATTTTCATTTGAAGTTATAATTCTTGCTATTGGTGCTATAATTCGTCAAAAAATACTTTACTCGCTCCATTTTTTTCTCGAGCACTTCCTTGATGATTTTGGAAAACTATCAGTTTGCTCATTTTTGATTTCCGCACCAAAATTGATACTCATCAGTATCGTTGATCCGACAAAGCCTGAAATATTATCACAGTTTTGAGTCATCAAACAACTTTTGGATACTGGCCGCTCTTTGTCATTGTTGACATTGACGTTGTTTCCTGTAGTTTATTCATTATTCTCGTAGAACGTACTTTCTTGCAACAACCTGTAGAAGAACGAATGCCATTTTTCGATTTTAATGGCCTAAAACTTAGTTTTTGTTACATTGCAGTCATTCTTTACTTTTGCCACGCATGTTTTTGTATATTTTTAAGGAGTTTTCTCAGTTTAACTTTAAACGGTTACATAGTACACATTGTGCATTTACAGCATAAGTCAATACAAGATCTACATACAACAATAGCTAAGAAATAGTACAATCCAAGGACCAGGCTTGAAAAATTGGTAGACGCTTACAATTTCACACTCCTCTCGCTGCCATTAGTTTCTTCCGCCTTCACTGAAGACGAACTTCTTATTCCTTCGTTGTTCTTTCAGACCTTCTTCAGTATCAGTGGCTTTTTCTTGATTTAGGCCATGTTTACTGTTTGTCAAATATCTCTTTGGTTCTCTCAGCTCTCTGGGTTCAAAAGTAGCTATCAGTGGAAACCGTGTGCCGAATTATTAGCTGTTCATCTTTGAAGACTTGGAAGACGCGCTTTTTTTTCTTTTTAAAGACACTTCTGTTAGATGTTTTTAAAATTACAGTTTGCAAAACCCTTAATAGAGGTATTTCATAGACTGCTGTAAAACTTTTTTGTTTTTACTGATTATTAATTTACGGATGGAAGAAGGGATTTGTTCTATAGATCAAATCCCTTTTTTCGCCCGTGATCCATAGATCTGTTGTTGAATGGAAGGTGTGCTGAAAAGTAGGTCTATCAAATGAATAAAAAATAAAGTTTTGGAAAAAAGTTTTACTTTTTAAAGTACTTGTTAATTTCTGCACATTTCTTCTGTCTTTTTAAGACTAATGGAACAAAACTGAGTAAGCAAATATTTGTTGAACATAACTTAGTTGAGCGTATTTTTTTTTAATTATTTTTTTTCTAAGTAGTTGTCATTTTCACTTCCGTTAATGGCATTTATTCCTTTAATTGAAATTGCTGTTACTGCTTCTCACATTGTTATTGGTACTTTTTTTGCATAAATTTTCAATTTCAGATTACCGAACATTCAGCTTTGCAGTCTCGTTGGCGAGGCATAATATTTGGACCGAAGGGTAATTCTAGAAGTGGATACTTTTTATCGACAGCAGTACAAATTACCGTCACCACCGCCACCACCACAGGGAGCAATAAAAACCTTAACAATAACATCAGAAGTTTAGAAGACACTTTAACAAAACCCTCAGGTACGTATTTTTTCGAACTGTCTCTTATTACTGAAAGGATACCGCCAATTTATTGGTGATTTGAAACACTAGTTTTGATATTCCGCTCTTTTGACATCGATCAACCTTCTCAACTAACACTTTGACTGCTTCTGGAAGAAACCAGAAGCGCTTTGTATGTACCGGTCACCGAACTTTGTTTGAATTTTTGTCCTCTGAATACGTATTTTTTTACTGTCATCGGCTAATTCTCACAAATCGGTTGTAAAAAGCGGAACCGAACTTGTCTTCTGCACCTTTTGCACCACGAATCAATCTAATCTTGAACTGTGTGCTTTTTCTTACTTCAGAAAAACTTCAATTTATGTTATTTCACAAAAAAAATTATTTTCATCTTCAATTTTTTGTTTATTTTAAAAAAGTTGATAATAAAGCGAAACTTTTA